GTCTGGAATTCTTATCACAAGGGCCATGCAGCCTGCACTAATGTGAGGTACTGGAGATGGAGGTCCTCTCCTCTGGATTCAACTGGCCAGGCATTGCACAGTCTTCCAATGGTATCACAGTGTCAGGATCCAGGATTCCAATTTATCACAACCCCTCTTTCTTTATTCTGAGGCTATTTAATCGTTTATAAAAGTTTAGAAAAGGGGAGTGTATAGAGTTCCACTATGCAATTTGGAGCCAAAGTACCAGGTAACAAGAAAAAGTTACTTTGCCTCCCTTTTTTAGGATATCCCCCTTAGTATAGGACAGAATAACCCCTCTTAGACTGGCGGTGAGGCACAGCTGAGCCAAAACAGTATTTAGGTATTCCCAGGTTCCTTCACAAAAGTAGCATTTCTCTATCACTTATGAACATATTCCAATATTATCCCAATTTCTTAAACAACGTTAAGGATAAAGCTTGAGATTTTGACTATCGGCTATGAAAAACTTAAAACAAAGAAGTCCAAAGCAATGGAAAATCCAGAAGAAGCCTCACAGATATAAATGATAAGGAATGATACATAGTACCCTCTTTGTGCTTGGAATTTTTCTCTTTTTTTCTGTTTAGTTCTGTTTTCAACTTACATTTGAAAATAAACTCTCATTTTTTATTTATTGAAATCAACTCTTTAGATACATGTGAACATACCTGTTTGAGCTTTTTAATGTTCTATGCGTACAATTGTTCATTTCTAGGACACTTTCCCCTACAAATCTCAAAATGAAGCCAACGATAATCATTTGGTAGCAGGTCCAGACCTAGCTCGAGCAGGCACTAAACAGCCTGTGGCTGATATTTACGTCTCCCTGCCCCTCTCCCAAAGGACTTGCCATCACTGTTGGGGCAACATGATCTCAAACCTGAAACTGTGTCAGATTATCAGGTCCTGGGGGGCTCACGGCCTCTCTAGCCCCAGCTCTATCCACTCTCCTCTCCTCTTCACCCTCTCTTATTTACAATAAGAGATGCAAGTACTGCCAAGAAAAATACAACAAACTGGATCTCAACTACCGCCTGGAAGCGTTTCTCCTAAAAGGGAAACATACGAATGTTTATTCAAAAGGAAAATACGCTAAAAATGCATTTGAAAACAGCAATCACATTCAAAAGACAGTTAATTTGGGCAAAACCAACTGCTTTCACATAACAGTCATTTGCAGGGGGCCTAGAGAGGTATTCTTATCTTTTGCACATATCCTTTCATGTTCAGATACTCATGTAAGATAGGAACGACTAGGGATCCCTCCCCGCTTACTCAGAGCAGTGGAGACAGCCAGCGCAGAGAGCTGGGAGTGCCCCATTCAGAGATGTATGTGGGGACGGCAGAGGAGCTGGAACAAAAGTTTTAACAGACGAGGACTAGAAAATAGGTCTATCCTTCTCTTTCTAAAGCAATAACTAGGAATACACGTATCAGACACAGTTCACCTCATCACAACATTTCTTTAATGTTGGGTTGCCACATAAAAGTACAGAATGCCTAGTTAAATTAGAATTGAATGGCAACTAATTTTTAATATATGTATGTCCCATGTCATATTTGTAACATGCTTAAACGCAAAAATGATTTGTTGTTTATCTGAAATTCAGTTCAACTGGGTGTTCTGTGATTTGCCAAATCTGTAACCCTATTTAATGTCTTTTAAAATTACCTGTAATTGTCCTTGGGTTTAGATTTGTTATCTTCGGGTCAGACTTACCCCCTGAACTCCAGACCCATAAAATCAATTGTTGACTTGACATCTCTGCTTTAGTGTCTAATCGACATTTCAAACTCAACCTATCCAAAACTGAGCTCCAGCTAAATGCCACTGTCCCCTTCTTTCCCCAGATGCTCCTCCTGCAGTCTGCTTCATTCCACTTAAGGGTCTACTCTTTGCCTGGGTTAACAATTTGGGGTCATCCTTTGCTCCTTTCTTTCTCTCACATCTCAAATCCTTTATTTTTGTATGACTGTAGCGAATGAGAAGAACTCTCTAGTTTACACTTCTATAAGTTTGAGGCTAGAAAATGGCTTGAGGCAGTACAGTCAGTGAAGAAATATGCCCCCAAAGACTTGTGCACAGAGTTTCTCCTGGGCCAAAGAAGTCTCTTCCTTGGAACCAGGGAGCCTCTTGCCACATTTGTGTCAACCAACCAGTAAATAACTGTGCTTAAACAAGGACAAAGGGGCTACATCTTTTGCATTTATAAACGCAGTCAGCCCAAGGTTTTGACTTTCCCTTCCAGTACCACTTAACATTTATAGTGGGAACTGCTAACAGTTGTTGGGGGGAAACTCTCACTACCTGACACCCCCACCTCCACCCTGGTTATTAAATGAAACAGTTATCTTTTCACTTTTAAAGTAACAGCATCTAGCTTTCCAGATTCTTAATAATGCCAAAACCAAGGAGTTCCGTGAAATTGGTAGAGAATGCACAATGTGTCAATCTATATAATATCCAAATCACAGTTTCAAATTTGAGAACTCCAGGACACTTCTGCCAATTCTTTGTTTAGTACACATGATAAATGTTAGGAGGTCATGTCAGGTCTTTCTTATCAAACATCAAGGAACCCAGAAACTAGATAATTACACAACTCAGAGCAGACTAATTTTTAGGCCACTCCAGACCAATATATATTTTCTCTAAATTGCCATCAGCGGTTACCCTCTGAGATTCTCATCAAGGAGCAATAGTTTCTACTCTGCTGTTAATGCATGCCGCGCCTAAGTAATAGGGATGCTGTTAAGAACAGCTAAAGCAAAAAGGGTGTATTGGTTTATCAATGTCTTCAGATATTTAAGGTTCTAGGCTTGGTGCTCAGCAGAGCCAAATTGGAATGTGATGTTTTCTGTCATACCGTTTTGCTATGTCATCATGTCAATAGCAACTTCTCATATAACATGTCAACAATGGTATGTACATTTTCAAAAATGGTCAACATGATTAACAAGGTGATTTTTAAAAGAGAGCAAGACAAAAATAATGTGGCTAACCACATGAGAAAAACAATTTAAAAGAGGAAATAAATAAATTACCTTAAATCCCTCTGTCAAATAATCAAAGATTTATATAAAAATTAAGAATCAAAAATGTAGATAACAACAAACGTTTTTTCTGTGGGACAAAGAGAGGTAAAGTTTCTTAAAGAGATTTGAAAATGATAGCATTTGACACAGAAAAGTTCATTATAAAAGTTCCATTTTAATAAGTACGTCTCTACTATATTGACACATTATCTCCATATCAGGCATTTTTCTTAGCCTTCAAATTTTGAGGAAACAGTCAAATTTGAATGGATGATCTATTTTTTTTTCTTTTTTGCACATTTCAATGTCCAAATTTTCCATGTCTTTTTAAGAACATAGTGGGGCATGTTTACCTAAGTTGCTATGCCCAGGGTCTCTGAAATTTTCTAAAGATTCTGTCCTATAACAAAATATACCTTTCAAGCTAAACAAAAAATAATTGTCTATTTTTTAAAATGTCTGCAGCAAAGTTATTAGCTCCATAAAATCAAAGGGTTGTACAGACAGCCTGTAGAGAGAATTTCACAGGTGCCCAGTCAAAACTGTGATGTTTGGAAGACTTTTTGCGCGCGTGTGTAAATTCTATTAGATTATCACGAGCACTCTGAGTACTCCAAGTTAGTGGAGTTTCCACCCATTTTTTATAAAGACTTTCTGATAATCAGTTTTCTTCCCATTGATGGATTTCCTAACTCTGAACGCAAACATTTCACCGTATCCCATCATCTTCCTGACAGTCTCTGGGTACCCGCTTTCCTAAGGGGCTGTGCCTTTTCAAAGATAAATGAAATGCTTTAATCCTCATATTGTACCAATTCATCACTTCCAATAATCAAATTTTCACTTGAATATTGTATTTAGCGATTCTCTCAGGCCATCTGAAACACTGAAATATGTACAGGGCACAAATCATACTATTCAAAACATTCTCCTGCACACGTCACTAAGAGAAAAACTACCCACCCCGAGCATAGCTATTAATGTCAAACAGATTGTCATCCAAGAAAACAAAAATGCATCAAAATCAGCTTCGGACAAAGTACAGCTCTACGGAAAAACACCAGGTTTTTATGTGCAAATGTCTTAAATGTCTGTTTGAAATGTTTAAAGAACAAGTTAGCAAGGAAATCTGTTCCTGGTCTCCATAACCCAGGATAATGTAATAATGAAAATAATTCTAGAGTTAAAGGGTTTCTCAACATAGCATACTATGATTTTACCAAAGATGCATTTGCCCCAGTTTCTAGTGAACGTTAGAAAGAAATGGGTTTCTAGCTTGGGCCGAGGGCTCTATTTAGCCTTTCAAGGCACAGACCTGTTAGCAACGCTGGGACGCCTGCCAGAATTTTTTCAACTCTTAGTAAAGATCGTACCTCGAAAGCAATGTGCGTTGCACACGACATAGATTTAAGCTCCCACTCCCGCCTACATAGCTTGGCACCAGTGGCTTTTGAGGTATCCCCCACCTCCCCAAATTCAGACTGATTCGTTACCACCGTCCCCCACCCTCCCACCACCGCCACGCCAGCATCCTTGTTCAGCTTCCGGAGCTCGGCACAGAGGGTCCCCGAAGCCCCTGCAGAGTAAACTCATGGTGCCACCCCATGCCCAGCCCTGCGCACACCTACAAACACGCTCTCCTACTCCCGTCGCGGCAAACTGCCCCCAATCTGTCACCCATCTCACTCATAATACTCATACCCCTTCATCTCTGTCGCTTTTTCCCTCCTCCTGGTGTCTTCGTCCCCAACACACCTGTCTACCCCTACAGCTGCCAGACTCAGGGGCCCACGCTGCGCCCTATCCCGCGCCCCCTCAATCCAACAGGCGCTTCCCACTCGGCCCCGTGGCGGAGCACCTTCTGCCCCTACCCCAGCGCCCACTGCAGAGAGCCCCCGACTCCCACCCTCCGGGCGCAGGGGAAGGGGCGCCCATCCTACCTGCCGAGAGCGCGGCGGCGGCGATCAGCAGGAGAGCCTGGCGGAGCGCGGCGTGCAGCGCTCGGGTCATGGCCACCAGGCGGCTGCCGGGGCTGCGAGGCCCCGGAGCGGAGCGACGTGGCCGGGACAGCGCGGGCCGCTTTGAAGTTCCCGGGGCGCGGGAGGCAAGCACAGCCCTGACACCCTTTTGAAGTGTGCGGTTGGCTCTAATCGGCGCGTGTGCCCCCCTCCTCTGCCTCCCCCATCCCACGCCCCCCGCGGCGGGCGGTGCGCGGCGCTCCTGCCACTGGCCCCAGCAGCCGCGCTCGGAGAGGGGCGGGGGCGGGGGCGACAGAGCCCGCCCCTGCCGCGCCTCCGCCCCCTGCGCCCTCTCACAGCCGCCCCGGGCCTGTCGCTGCCCGGCAGGCGGGCAAAGGCAGCCCGATGGCGAGGCAGTGAGATCACCTAGAGCTGGGGGGAAGGAACGGGATGGGATGGCGCGGAACCCCAAGACTGGATACGGTGGGGGTGGGTTGGGACGGGAGGGAAAGCCCTGCTGAGACTTTAGGGAAACTTAAACCCTGCAGCAATTGCTTCTTGGTGGTCCGCTCTCTAGTCTCCTACGGAAGATCCAGCCGTCCAGATCGCTTGACATTCGTTTGTGGTCCAGTGCCCTAAAGATTTTCTAACTAGACTGAGCCATGAGACACCCCTAGTATTCCTCCCCGTGTCGTCCCACCACCACATCCTGGCTGTGCGTGCGTCTGTGGAAGGGCGCCCTCTCTGTCCAGCCTTGGAAATAACCAGCTGTCCGACCGAATCGGCTACCTAAAGCTTTGGTTTAACAAACTTCATTTCTTGTCTGATGCCTTCCAGCGACTCTCCCCTGTATGAATGGCTACCAAGGCTAGACCACCTGCGCCAGGTGATGTGATCGTCTGCAATATATAATCCAGGTTTGGAGGTAGAGGCCCCGACCTATGGAAGCTATCTCTGCAGCTACAATTTCAGCAATTGAAAAACTGGACGCGGGGAAGGGAGAGGGGGACAGTGGGGGAGGGGGGATTAGATACACGGATTAAGGGGAGGTGAAGAATGATTTAAAGTAATATATTAGAAACTTGTTTGAGTATTGTTTAAGTCCCTGGAGGCTTATTATCAAATAGGTGTGCTTCCCAGGTGGATTATGATTGAAAATGTAAGGGCAACGTTACCAAAGAATAGAAATTAGCCTAAATTCAATCCACGTATGTAGCCTATACATTAAAGTGAATGGGATTCTTTTAACCTGCACAACACAAAAAGCCGAGAATCCAATACTGGTGTTATCGCTACTGTTATGGGCCTCCTTGGAAAGTGATTGCCATTTAAATTAATTGCTTTAGAGTAAGAGATATTACTTGCTTCACCCAGCTCAGCTCTAAATAAGGCGAATGTTCTTTCTGAGGTCTAGGAAAGACCTATGGTGGAATGGTGTATACAATTGCCTTTACCATCAAAGGGCCACAGTATTGGAGGTAGGATGTTTGTTGGACTTTGATGCGTGACTGTGACAGTCCTGAGGCTCTCAACCCATCACCACCACCTTGGATGAATCAAAACATTTCTAAGCATAAAAAGACTTTGTTCTCATTTTATTCTGGATCCAAGCAAACAACAAAAAAAAATGGAGATGTGGGACAAGGCTGAGCCCTTCCAGACACCCACAAAACAGATGCTTTTTTTAAAAAAAGGCAAGAAAATGCTAGGACACATTATATTTTGGCTGACTTGGCTTGCTCATTATTTGGTAACTGTACCTAGATTGTGATCTACCATTGGATCATGAGATTTGGTGCTGAAAGAGCAAAACTGGTGTCCTCTGTGGGCCGGCTTCCTCAAAAATAAATGGACCGTCATCCCTCCCAATTTCTTAGAACCATGATCGGGGTTAAAAAAGGCAGTGAATGTGAACACACTGTCAAATCATAAAGCATTACACTCATGTCAGGTATGTACTCCCTACAAATTTATTTTGTCTCTTGAATGCAGTAAGCAATGTCCCTGCAAGTCGGAAAGCTCTCATCTTCTAAGGAAAGCAAGGTTATTATCCTGAGAAGTCGGCTATTGAATAACTTCAACATTCTAAACAAACTCAACCCTTTCCTCTTAGTCCAGCGGTGCATTGTCCGCTATGGTATCTGCTAGCCACATGGTGTGGTATTTGCCAGTCACATATGGATAGTGAGCACTTGAAATGTGTCTAGTCCAAGTTGACATGTGCTGTAAGTACAAAATACACACTGGCTTTCAAAAACTTAGTACAAAATAAGAATGTGAAGTATATCATTAATAATTTTTATATTGCTTACATTTTGAAATAATATTTTGGACATACTGGGTTAAATGAAATCTATTACTAACATTAATTTCACCTATTTCTTTTTGCTTTTTAATAAGACTACTAGAAAATTCTGAATTACATATGTGGCTCGCATTATTTCTTTATTGGACGGTGCAATCCTCATCAGATGGCAGAGATCATTACCTTTGCCGTAAGTACAGTATAAAAAAACCAAGAGTTATTAGGTGCCGTGCCAATCAACATATGGCCAGCCAATGAAGGAAGCAGGATGTTTTGAGTTCTTAGTGCAAAGTTCTGTAACGCAACAAAAAAAGGTTAATATGTAAAAAAATCTAAGTACTTAATCTGTAGGATTCTTTTAAACTACATCTTCAAATACTATTTCCCTCTGTCCTCTTATGCATGTTCTTCTTCCAATATCAATACTATGGAAGCTTTGAAGTTAACCACTCTCAATGTATTGAATCCCAATAGCGGGCAAAGTATATTCTTAGGCAACTTTAAATATTTCTGATATGCTTGAGTCCTTAATGCCCTCTTCATAACAACCAAGAAAAGACCTTCATCCTTATGTGTCCCAAATTTTACTTAGGAATATTCTTTATTTATACACACACGCAAACACTCCTATGGAAATTAATCCAGTCTTAATCCAATATCTTTTTTTTTTAAAGATTTTTTGTTTCTTTCCCTTTTCTCCCCAAAGCACCCCAGTACATAGTCGTATATTCCTCCTTGTGGGTCCTTCTAGTTATGGCATATGGGATGCTGCCTCAGCGTGGTTTGATGAGCAGTGCCATGTCCGCGCCCAGGATTTGAACCAGTGAAACACTGGGCCGCCTGCATCAGAGCACGTGAACTTAACCACTCGGCCACGGGGCCAGTCCCTCAATATCTTTTTAAATGAGCTATTATTAAGAAAATACTCTTTGGAGCATACTAAGTGACTCCTGTTATTTAATATAAGCAATACAAATGCATTGTTCAAGATGTGATATAATACATCTTTCATGCTTTTTGTTCATAACAGAAAAAAATTTACATGAGAGTTTTTTTAAATTTCATTGGAAAGAAATTTACGTGCAAATGTTTTTCTCAAGATTTAACCTTCTCCCCACCCTTAAATCATCTATTTGTACATATTCGTTACCATAGCAACGTTACATCATGACTCCTGGATTCTCATAATGAAAAGAAAACAAAAACAACAAATAACTGAGGAGTTCATCAGCAAAACAGATTTTGGGTAAGTAAATCTTGCGTAACTAAGGGAAGCAGATATTGGGACTTTAAACTGTAAAAATTTGATACAATTTCAGAATAACATTCCAAATTAATAAGGCAAATAAATGTGTGTAATAAGTGAACTTTCAAAATGACTGTTTGTTGAACTTTAAAAATGACTGGGATTTTTTTATCATATGGGTTTCTTTTATTATTATCCTTTCCAGAATCTCCCATGCCATGCATCTTAATTTCTTGTTTCATCTTGGAACGTGAACTTATCATGGAATGAGCATATGGTGAGGAGGCATACTATGATAATTTGCTGTATACTATCAAGGTCTAATCTTTTCTCATTTTACTGAATTTTTCCTTCCCTAAACTCACATCCCCCCTAAAGAATCACTCGTCTCCACTCATCTCATCTCTTAATCCCAGAAATCTTTCCGTTGGGGACTCTCAGTTTCACTTGTTGAATATCATGTTGAAATGATAATATTTTGAATATATTAGGTTAAATGAAATAAATTATTAAAATTAATTTCACTGCATGGACCGTCTGGGTGGCATAGTGGTTAAGTTTGCATGCTCCACTTCAGCAGCCCCAGGTTTGCAGGTTCGGATCCCAGGAATGGACCTACACACCACTCATCAAGGCATGCTGTGGCAGCGTCCCACATAACAAAACAGAGGAAGATTGGCACAGATGTTAGCTCAGGGACAATCTTCCTCATCAAAAAAAAATTAATTTCATTTTTTTAATGTAGCTATTAGAAAACTTAGAATTATTATGTGACTCTCATTATTATTTTTGTTGGACAGTGCTCATCTCATGAATCCTCACTGAATGTCAAGGATTTTTCCTGTGCTTGAAATGGTAGGAGAAGCAAGACTTTTACTCCTTTTGTCTCTTCAATAGCAACCCATATTCAGTCAATAATAAGGTCACATTTATTTTTCTTTCATGTTGTCCATTGTCATTCACACTGTTATTTCCATAGTCCAAGCCCCAAGTAACAACGTACTGAGTTGTTGTAATTACCAGCTAAATCATCTCCACAGCTTCATGTTATCCCCATCATAATGTATCCTCAAGGCTGCCATCAGAACAACTTTCTATTAACATGACTCTGATTATGTTCTCCCCTGTCCTCAAATCTTTAATGATCACCCTTGCCTATAGAATTAAGGCTAAATTCTCTAGCATACTGGTTCTCAAACTTTTTTATATCATGACCCCTTTACATTTCAGAAATTCTGAGGACCCCAGAAAGCTTATGTTGGGTTATATCTATCGACATTTACAATGTTAGAAATTTACATTGATAAATTCTTAAAACAAAGGAATACAAAAGCACAAATTCCATTAGCCTTCTAAGAGATGACCTCATTACACACCATGTAGCCTCTGAAAAGTTCCATTGTCTCTTTGTGCCAGAATGAGAGTGGAAAAGACAAATTACATTTTAGTATTACCTACAGAGGTAGTTTTCACCTCGTGGACCCCCAGAAGGTCTTGAGAACACACAGGGGGCCCTGAAGCACACCTTTAGAACTGCTACACTAGCTCATTTCTCTACATTCTCCCTAGGTGACCTCATCCCTTCCCATGACTTCAGTGTTTATTTCTGTGTTATATGCTCAAGACCCCCAAATCTCCATCGCTAGCCTTGATCTTACTCCCAAACTCTGGATTTGTATGTCCTACTGTCGTTTCTCTCTATACAACCCAAAAGTGGTCGAAACCAATT